ACGTCTTGTGAACGTCTTGTGAACGTCCTGTGAACGTCCTGTGAACGTCTTGTGAACGTCTTGTGAACGTCCTGTGAACGTCCTGTGAACGTCCTGTGAACGTCTTGTGAACGTCCTTTGAACGTCCTGTGAACGTCCTGTGAACGTCCTGTGAACGTCCTGTGAACGGCCTGTGAACGTCTTGTGAACGTCCTGTGAACGTCTTGTGAACGGCCTGTGAACGTCCTGTGAACGTCCTGTGAACGTCCTGTGAACGTCCTGTGAACGTCCTGTGAATGTCATGTGAACGTCTTGTGAACGTTCTGTGAACGTCCTGTGAACGTCTTGTGAACGACTTTGTGGTTGTGTCATCTGATTTTCAGCCATTTGTTTTGGACACTCTGGTGAAGAGAGGAGCTGAGCTGTCAACTGATCACCACCTGGTATTGAGTTGTATCAGATGGCAGGGGAAGATGCCGGACAGACCCGGTAGACCCAAATGTGTAGTGAGGGTTTGCTGGGAACACCTGGCAAAAGAACTCGTCAGAAAGATTGTCGACTCACACCTCCAGGAGAGCTTTAACTGCATCCCAGCAGAGGTGGGGAACATTGAGTCAGAGTGAGCCATGTTCCACGACTCAACTGTTGAAGTGGCTGCCTAGAGCTTTTTCCTCAAGGTTGTCGGTGCTTCTCGCGGTGGCCATCCTCAAACTAGGTGGTGGACACCCCGGGTTAGGGAGGCTGTCAAGTTGAAGGAGGAGTCCTATCAGTCCTTGTTGGCTGGTGGGACTCCAGAGGTAGCTGAGGAATACCAGAGGGCCAAGCAGTCTGCAGCCTTGGCTGTTGCTGAGGCAAAAGCTCGGATGTGGGAGGAGTTCGGTGAGACCCTGGATAACGACTCTCGGTTGGCTCCGAGGAGATTCTAGCAAACCATCAGGAGGATGAGGAATGGAAACCAGCGCTTTACTAACATAGTATTCAGTGAAAGTGGAGGGCTGTTGACCTCAACCAGTGATGTGATTGGGAGGTCAAAGAAATACTTCTCGGACCTTCTCAATTCCACTGGCACATCTTACATGGAGAAATTGGGAGTCGGGGAACTTTGGGGTTGGTCTGTCCATAGCCGTGGCTAAGGTCGCCAAAGTATTTAAAAAGTTCCACGGTGGCAGGGCTCCGGGGATGGATGAGATGCACACTGATTTCCTAAAGACTCTGGATGTTGTGGAGATGGTTGACACACCTTTGCAACATCGTGTGGACATCTGGGGCAATGCCACTGAATTGGCAGACTAGAGTGGTGGTTTCCCTCTTCAAAAAGGGAGACCAGTGGGTGTGTTCCAATTACAGAGATATTACTTTCCTTAGCCTCCCTGGTAAGGTCTATTCAGGGGTACTGGAGAAGCAAGTCTGCTCAATGGTCAAACCTCAGATCCAGGAAGAACAATGCGGGTTCCATCCTGGCCATGGAACACTGGACCAACTCTTTACCCTCAATAGGGTCCTTCAGGGGTCAAGGGACTTTGCCCATCTAGTCTACATGCGTTTTGTGGACTTGGAGAAGGCATTCGACCATGTTCCTTGGGGTACACTGTAAATGATAAATGGACTGTACATAGTACTGCTCGTGGAGTCGAACCCCCAACTCTTGCATTGGAGGACAACTGCTCTAACCACTCAGCCACAGCAGCCCAACTGTGGGGGGGGAGCTCTGTGAGTATGGGATTGGGGGTCCGTTGTTATGGGTTGTTCGATCCCTTTACAAGTGGTGCGAGAGTTAGGTTTGCATTGCTGGAAGTAAGTCAGACCTCTTCAGGGTGGGACTTGTACTCTGTCAGGGCTGCCCATTGGCACATATTCTGTTCATAACTTTTATGGACAGAATTTCTCGGTGCAGCCAGTGGGTGGAGGGATTCTGGTTCAGTGGCTTCAGAATTCCATCTCTGCTCCTTGCAGATGATGTGGTCCTGTTGGCATCATCGTGCCGTGATCTTCAGCTCTCACTGGAGCAGTTCACATGTGAGTGTGAAGCAGCTGGGATGAGAATCAGCACCTCCAAATCTGAGGCTATGGTCCTCAACCGGAAAAGGGTGGGTTTCTCTCTTCAAGTCGAGGGAGAGGCTGTGCCTCAAGTGGAAGAGTTCAAGTATCTTGGGGTTTTGTTCACGAGTGAGGGAAGAATGGAGCGTGAGATTGGCAGATGGATTGGTGCAGCATCTGCAGTATTGTGGACTCTGTACTGGTCCATTGTGGTGAAGAGGGAGCTGAGCTATAAGGTAAGGCTCTCTGTTTACCCGTCAGAATCAGAATCAGAGAATCAGAATGCCTTTATTGTCATTATACGCAGTACAATGAAATTACGAGCCACTCCTTTTCCCAGTGCAAAAACAAGCCTTAAGAAAACACACATTAAACACACACTAAAAATATAAAAAATGTAACGCAATATAGATATAATAATGAAAGTAAAAAATACAAGTATTACACAATTGTATTGCACATTATGGATATTAGTGAGGTAGTTAAGGTGACTGAGGGTATGAAATGTCAGTAGTATTGCACAGTAGAAGTCCAGGTGTTTAGGAGGTTAGATTATTAAATCAGTGCATGTGTGAGTTCAGTGTGGTGATGGCTTTCGGGAAAAAAACTGTTCTTGAATCTGTTTGTTCTTGTTCTGATGCACATGTAGCGTTTCCCTGAAGGTAACAAGTCAAACAGTTCAAAACCCGGGTGAGAACAGTCCATGATTATGCTTTCTGCTCTGTTGAGGCAGCGTGATGTGTAAATCTACATCAGTCAGTCTACATTCCTACCCTCACCTATGGTCACAAGCTCTGGGTAGTAACCAAAAGAAGGAGATTGTGAATACAGGCTGTTGAAATGTTTCCTCCGCAGGGTAGTTGGACTCTCCCTTAGAGATAAGGTGAGAAGTTCAGTAATCCGGGAGAGACTCGGAGTAGAACTACTGCTCCTCCACATCCAGAGGAGCTAGTTGAGGTGGCTGGGGCATCTGATAAGGATGCCCCCTGGATGCCTCCCTTGGGAGGTGCTTGGGGCATGTCCGATTGGGAGGAGACCCTGGGGAAGACCCAGGACACACTGGAGAGACTATGTCTCTCGGTTGGCCTGGGAATGCCTTGGCGTTTCCCCAGAAAAGCTAGAAGAGGTGGCTGTGGAAAGAAATGTCTGGGCCTCCCTGCTCAAGCTGCTGCCTCCACGACCCGACTTCGGAACAAGCGGAAGATAACGGATGGATGGATGGATGGATGAAGGGATGGATGGATGGATGGAACTGTATCAATGCAGCACTGAGGTCTAACAGGACCAGGATAGACACAAGTCCATTGTCTGAGGCCATGAGAATATCATTAGTGACTTTCACCAGTGCAGATTCAGTGGTGAGGTGAGCTCTAAACCCTGACTGAAACCCTTCAAACAGATTATTTCTTTGTAGATGTTCACGCAACTGACCAGCAACTATTTTCTCTAGAATTTTTTAGATAAAAGTTAGATTAGATATAGGTCTACAATTGGCTAGGATTCCCGAGTCAAGGTTATGTTTCTTAAGTAAAGGTTTAATTACAGCAATCTTAAAGTGCTGTGGTATGTAGCCATTCATAAGAAATAAATTAAGCAGATTCAAAATGTGGATATTAATTAAGGGGTATACCTCTAAATAGTCTGGTTGAGAGGGAATCTAGCAGACATGTGGATGGTTTGGATGAAGTTATTATTTGTGACAATTCAGAGAGCTCAACTGGACAAAAACAGCCCAAAAATAAATCTGGTTCTAGTGACATTTTTCAAGTTGCTTCGTCTGACACAGAACCAGAGGCGATACTTGTAAAGATAGTGGGTTTTTAATTTTTTCCCTAATTGCAACAATTCATTATTATTATCATATAATGCCATTGAGTCATGAGGATCCACCCCAAAGAGAGGCGTGTTTTAATGAGACTACCTGAATGAATAAAAGTAAAAAAAATAATTATCTGAAATTACTGAACAGGTCACAGTCAAACCAATAAAACAGGGAGGGGAGGAGAGAATGGGAGGGGTGACTCCCCTCCTTCATCCACTCTGTCTGTCTGTGTTAAACAGTAAAATAAAGTCACGAGTACCCACCCCTCAAGAGAGACATATTGGGCAGCTATGTGAGCACCCGGGTGTGATGAAGCTAAATGCTTTTGGCTGCAGGAAGCTCATTAGCCCATCCAAAAAAATAGAAGAACTATAAATTAGCCGCAGCATTGTGTAAAGCGTGGGGTTCTAAGCCTGTGAAAAAATAGCAGCTCATAGACCGGCAAGTACGTTGAATCAGATCCGTAGCGCTCATTTATGTAATTCATTGTAATTTTACAACACCTGGATCAGATATTTTCTTGTGAATCAACATGTCCACCAGAGTTGTTTTGGTACTTGTGCAAGCAAGGACAAGCAATGCCCCCCCCCCCCCCACACACACACACACACACATGCACACCTCCTGGGGGTGGGTGTAATACATGCACCACATCATGCCATTATAATCAAAACTATTGAATCACACACACAAGAAAACGTCTCTCAGGGTGTAATCACCGCACTCCTCTGAGCTCATTTCAGAAGAAGGTGTGAACTGTTTTGACAGGTTCTCATGAAACACATCATGTTCTCACATCTCAGTCTTAAGAAAAAATATCACAAAGAAATACAGTAAGAAGAACCTCACAGATTGCAGCATTCAAAGGTTGCAGCTTTTTTAAATGGTTAGCTCACATAAATCACAAAATAAATGCATCATCTTCCTTTGCACAGGCGCTCCCCGTCTCCAGAGGAAACGTTTTTAGAGTCACAGGAAACACAATTTGCTTATGTCAGAGCTGAACGTGTCCAGATATTACCAAATAATGGTTTCCTTTTGTGAACCAATTTAAATAAATAAAAAACTGCCAAGGTTTATAAAGACTAAAAGGCTGTTTCTCATCTGCAGAAGAGACAAAACCCACACAGGAATCAACACAAAGTGTAAGTGGCACACTCACCCCTTCCTGTCTGGAGAAAAGGCTGAGACAGATGCTGAGATTGGAGGTGGTCTCGCTGGACAGCTCACAGATTTCCTGCATTTTCTGCACCACGGGTAATGGAAATCCTGCTGGGGAGTAAAACACACAAAAAAGTACTGAATGAAATAAGAATAGCTGCCATTTTACAGAAAGACTGCAAACATTATGCACAGTTATAAAATCACTAATGCCCAAAGACAGATGGCTCAGGCTTATTCAGAGTACTTCATTAATTTGTAACAGCATTCCAGTTTGTTTTCAGCAATGCATAAAATTTAAAACGACTCTTAAATGGCTCACGATTACTATTATTAATACTTCTTTTAAACAGTAAAAACTAAAAACCAGTATTATTAAATGGGTGGAAAAAGAACACATCCTTCCAAAGGATTGCATCCCGTTTTATCTTCAACAGTCTTTATGGCATCAAACGGCCCTGTTCAGAAGAGGTCACTGAAAGGTTGAACAGAAGTACAAATGATGGGAACTATATGTTCTGACCTCTGCAGTCACTCCTCCTAACACAGATTAACATCGCTGAAAGATAGCAGGCCTATATTTCAGACAACACTAATATAAACCTTCATAAAGGAATAAAAAAAGCTTATTCTCAACAATAAAGCTATAGAAACGTGTAAAATAAGTAAAAAAACTGAACACTGAAGGTGGTTCTTCTCATTCTTACTTGCTGTTTCTCTTTAATTCGTTACCTGTCTGTATGTAACCCTGCCAATGGAGACAAAACAAACTTAAATGACAGTAAAATAGCAGGTTTTTACGTTCTGACAGCCCATCATTTTTCAGCATGGACAGGAAAGCTGCCACCTCCTTCTCCAGCTTCTTCTGGCTGACCTCCGCTGCCTGGTAGATTGGAGACACGTGAGAGAAATGCAGATGAAACTAAAAGCAGCTCAGGGTTTCTGATCCAGAGAATACACCACAGATCGTTGTGTCAGGATGCTCATTATGTGTGAGTATAAATATATATTGTTTACGGCCACCTGCACTGAGTCAGTCAGTTCTTCAAGTGACATCCCTTCTCCCTCCTCATCCTCCCCCTCCTCCACGCTGCCCTGCTCAGGGGAACAGTAGTGTGTGCTGTAAGCCGAGTGCTCCTCCAGAGCGTCCAGCCATGCCTGAAAGGAAATATGCAAAATAAAACATAAAAACTCTTGTTTTCTTTCATCTTCTCATGACAAATCAAATATACATTTGATGAATTTATTGTATATCTACATGGCAAATGTAACACTTTTATCCTTGAAATCTTACAAGAATGTTTTTAAATAAAAATAAAAAATCTGAAAACTGTCACCAATCTCATCTAAATATGTATGAGGCATAAGGCAGCAGTCAGATAGAAAAATGAAGAGAAACTGACATCAAAATATTTAACTTCTTCTTTAGCCGTTCCCTCTTCAGGTGTCTCCACAGCGAGTCCTCCTCCTCCACCTCACTCTGTCCTCTGCATCCTCTGTCCTCACTCTAAGGACCTCCATGTCCTCTCTAACTGCATCCATAGATCTCCTCTTTGTCTCTTTCCTGGCAGCTGCATCCTTCTACCAATATACCCACAGTCCCTCCTGTGGACCTGTTCAAACCCTCTAAGTCTGGCCTCTCTAACTTTATGTCCCAGTTGTTCAACCTGTGCTGTACCTCTAAAGATCTTATTCCTGATCTTATCTATCCTTGTCACTTCCAAAGAGAAACTTATCATCTTCAGCTCTGCAATGGATGGACTCCCTGTCTTTTTGTCCATGTCTATGTCTCCAGACCATACAACAAAGCTGGTCTCACCACTGTCTTGTAAACTTTTCCTTTGACCTTTGCTGACACACTTTTATCAGAAATCACTCCTGTGACTCTTCTCCATCCGCTCCATCCTGCCTGGACTCTATTTTTCACTCACACATGTACTCTGTCTTACTATGGATAACTTTTATTCCTCTTCTTTCAAGTGCATACCTCCACCTCTCCAAGTTCTCTTCCTCCTGTTCCCTGTTCTCACCACAGATCACAATGTCATCTGCAAACATCATTGTCCACAGGGATTCCTGCCTGACCTCATCTGTTAGTCGGTCCATCACCAGAGCAAACAAGAAGGGGCTCAGAGCCGATCCTTGATGCACTCCCACCTCCACCTTGAAGCTATCTGCCACTCCTACAGCACATATCACCACTGTCCTGCTGTCCTCATACATGTCCTGTACCATTCTAACATACTTTTCTGCCACTCCAGATTTCCTCATGCAACCACATCTCCTCCCTCGGCACTCTGTCAGATGCTTTTTCTAAATCCACAAAGACACAATGGAGTTCTTTCTGACCCTCTCTGTTCTTCTCCATCAGCATTCTCAAAGCAAAGATGCATCTGTGGTGCTCTTTCTTGACATGAAACCATACTGCTGCTCACAGATAGTCATCTCTCGTCTAAGTCTTGCATCCACAACTATCTCCCAGATCTTCATCATGTGACTCATCAACTTAACTCCCTTGTAGTTTCTACAACTCTGTACATTGTTCTTAAAAATGGGCACCAGCACACTTCTTCTCCATTCCTGAGGCATTTTTTCACCCTCAAATATGCCATTGAATATTTGAGTCAAAAACCTCACTGCCATCTCTCCAAGACATTTCTAAACCTTCAATGGCATGCCATCAGGTCTTACAGCCTTCCTTTTCTGCACCTTCTTCAAACCTTTCTGAACTTCATCCTCTAATTACTACCACTTCTTGGTCCACAGCTTCTATCATCTTTAATCTGCTATTCCTTTATTCATTAGCTTCTCAAAGTACTCCTTCCATCTTCCCATCACGCTCTCCTCACTTGTTAGATCATTACCATTTCTATATTTAACAAGCCTAACCTGCTGCACATCCTTTCCAGCCTGATCTGTCTGTTTGACACTCCTTACAAGTCCTTCTTTCCCTCCTGTGCGTCCAGCTGTTTGTACAACTGATCATACACCTGTTTTACCTTTTAAAATTTAATTCTCAAAGTCCCATTTAAAAAATCCTTTTTGGCTAACCTCTTTCTTTGAACGGCATCCTGCACTTCACTATTCCATCACCAGGTTTCCTCATCATCCTTTCGCTGTCCAGATGACACAACAAGTACCTTCCTACCTGTCTCTCTAATTACTGTTGCTGTAGTAGTCCAGTCATCTGGAAGCTCTTTCTTACCACCCAGAGCCTTTAACAGCTCCTCTCTGAGTTTCTCACAACATTCTTCCTTCTTCATCTTCCATCATTTGGTCTTCTTCTCTGATTTGACTCTTTTTCTCTTCTTCACAACAACAGTCATTCTACACACAACCATCCGATGCTGTCTGGCCACGCTCTCCCCTGCCACAACCTTAAAGTCTCCAATCTCCCTCAGGTTTCCTCTTCTACACAGAATGTAGTGGACCTGCGTACTCCTTCCTCCACTCTTATAGGTCACTCTATGTTCCTCCCTCTTTTGGAAATAGGTATTGACTACAGCCATTTCCATTCTCTTGGTAAAATCCACCACGCTCTGTCCTTCCTGGTTTCTTTCCTTGACAGCAAACCTACCCATCACTTCCTCATCCTCTGTTTCCTTCATCAACATGTCCACTCAGGTCTGCTTCGATCACCACTCTCTTCTCTGGGAATACTTTCTATCACTTCATCCAAATCCTTCCAAAAAGTTTCTTTCTCCTCTAAACCACATTCAACCTCTTTAATATAACTAGAGACAACATTCAACTTCAGACCTTCCACTTCTACTTTCAGACACATCACCCAATCCAACACTCTTCTCACCTCAACTACATTTCTTACAAGCTCCCCCTACAGGACAATCTCTATTGAATATTTCTTCCTTTCCACACTATGGCAGAAGAGCTTAAACCGTCTCAACTTTATAAACTGAGTCCATTTCAAGAAACCAAGCACTTCAAAGAAAATCTATCAATTTTGCCTACAAGGGTGCTCAAATGTCCAGCCAGAAGACTGCTGGATGCTAAAAGGTTGGTTGAGGTGCAGCTTGCTAAGTGAGTTTTAATCAAATATCAGTGGGGGTCTTTGAATGGACGTAAGCCTCTATATGTTTATGTTGAAACTTTGAATTATAAAACATCTACAGGAAAAATTTAAACTTGTGCACTGAGTTCTTGTTCTTCATAAACATGGAGGCTATACGCTGTATGATCATTCAGCTCTGGAAAAAGCACGATCACCAATAAATTGTTAAATTGATCTTGACATTCATGTCCATTTGGAGTGTATGTAAACATTTGATCACATCTGTTTTTAAGAGTTCTGTGTAGGGAAAAACAAAAAGGTGTTTTATTTCCATTTTAGTATTGTCATTGTGAAACTACAATCAAGTAACTTTATACAATTCCCAGTAAAAGACAATGTTCTAGTCCTCACAGAAATGACAGCTAGCTGCTGTTGTTGTTTCTATAAGCTCGCATTTTAAAAGTTCAATTTACTGATTTATCTAGTTTAAAGGTCTGAAAAGGGCAGCATTCTCATTTAGAGCTTCTCTGTGGAATTCAGAACAGAAAATTATAACCTAAAAAAATCTGTGGGGCTGATGTAAAGTGGGTACTAAAGTAGAACAAACAGTCTGGATTTTAAACAAAACTAAATTTGAGCTTTTACTTACAAATATTTGTTTTACCGTAGTGCACATTTACCACATTAGTTAAAAAGAATAGCATGATACTAAATACTACCACAAGATATTTCATATTGTCTGCTCAATTATGGCAAGAACACCGATTCTTCCAGACAATGCATATGATTATGATAGTTTATAACAAAATTATTTGGGAGAATCAGATTTATTTGACAGTCATTGAAATACATACAATTAAATCTTACTAAAAATAGAATGTATTTCATTTGAAGATAAAACAAACTATATATAATTAATCTAACATTGTTAGTCGAACGTTGCACTGTAATATTTCCACCTGAAGGTGAGCGTTTCACGTGGTTTCCTCTGTTTGACGGTTGCTCTGCGTTTCAACATGAACTGAAGCAGAACTCAACAGCAACAAGGCCGGCCTGCTTCATCAGCTGGGGGCAGACATGAGGGTGGAGATTCATCAACCAGGCTGTTTACACCACTTCTTGGTGGGAAATTGCTCAATTTTAGAAAGCACATTTAGGTTTTTAGCTAGTTTTTTCAAAATAAAATTAAACTGGGACTCTGAGATAGAAGAAACACGTGACAGTCCGAGTAAATTTTCTAAATTCTTGTTCATTCTGATTTTTTTTGTGCAACAGGGAGTGATCACCGATGGGCATAAAATAAAATAAAAACGTTTGTTTATTTCATTTATCTTATTTTGGCTGATTCCTCATGCAGAGGTTGGCGCAGCGAGTGCAGTCGCATCAAAGATCTGTCAATCGTTTGACGCTGGACGTCCTTCCTGGTGACCTGGGCTCAAACAGTCACAGGATTACACTTAACCACTGAGCTACTGCAGCTCCGCCCTTAACCCCCAAAATAACAAAGCTTTGCATTAATAAACAGGATTTATGGTCAAGTACGTAAATAAAAAGAAAGAAGTTTTTCACCTTTCAGAAATTAACTCATATTCCTGTAGACAATGATAAAGTGTCTGAATATGTCTGGAATTCACTGAAGGATCTTTTAAAAACAGAAGTGTCATTGAAAAGTTGTTGTTTTTTTATTTATATAATCCATATTTTCAAAAGAGAAGAACCTAAGCTTACTTTTTTAGTTGTTTCCGGGTCAGACTCAGGCGATACTTTGAAGTGATGGACACTGCCATCAAAGCACTTCAGGCTGAAGAGGCGGTGATCTTTGGCTCGTACCTGGAAAAGCGTAGGAGAAAAAAATGTACGGACGAATAAATTAAACAAAAAGTCAAAATAGGTGAAATGCCTTCAAATGAGTCTTACCTGAGAGTTTGTCAGGGACTTGCAGCCCTGCCTTCTGACGTTTGTAGCTGCGTCTGACCTTCATGTGACAGAGACAGAAATGAGCTCTTTTCAACAAGAACACAAGTTTCAGAAGAAAACATTCTTTTGGCACATCTATCTAACTCATACAGGACCTTTCCATCAGCTGCCCCCCCCCCCCCACACACACACACACACTCAATACAAAACTTTAATTCAAAGCACACAACCAAAACTGCACTTACTGTTTTGAGTACCAGTTTATAACCCCGTCCTGCAGAACAACCCAGTAGGAGCGCCAGCCAAAAAACCTGGAGCTCTGTTGAAGAGTGTGTGGTGGTGGTTTTTGGGGGGGGGGGGGATGAGATAAAAGCTATTAGTCATGTTTTCAGCAGATGTTATGAAACTGTCAGTGAAGACACTGGAAAAAACTAATAAAAATGTACAAACATAAGTACTATTATGTTTTAAAATACTTGTTCCACTACGTACGTTAACAAAATACAAAGTAGTAACACGTACCGGTACCCTTTTGTTTTCTGACCCAAAGAACTGCAAAGTTCAAGAACTTCCCTGACTACTTTTCATGCAAGTTTTAGACCAACATAATTTTATTTTGAGAAAAGACAATCATGTAGCCATTTTGGTCAATCCTTAAAAGTAGCATTTTGTGTCATCACTCTTTCAGAGTGTGTTGTGAAGACTCTCAGCTACTACCACACCAAATATGAGCTTAAAATACAGTAAGTAAAACTGACAGTTTTGTGATTTCTACACTCTGTTGGCGGAGGTGATGTGGGCGTTCTGCTCTGCCAGTTCCCTGCAGCCACAGTTAAACACCAATCAGCAGCACCTGAGGATCATCAGCTTGATGAGCATGAGGAGCATAAAAGACTGCAGAGGACATCCAGTCAGCGCTGGAGCATTAACTGCCAATGGTAGTTCTGTTCTAGCATTTTACTTCTGAGTTAAACTAAATATTAACAGACTTTGTATTTCTCCGTGCTTTTAGTATATAATCCCTGATGTACTCCTGTCCCCTGGATTATTCTATTTGGACCTTGAGCTCTCCTGTGCCTCCACTCCTTCCTAACACTTGCCTGCCTCCTGCCTGGAACCATTGGCTCAGCTCTCCCCACAACTGACTCCTACCTCAACCATTGGAGACAATGTGTTCGACATAACAATACTTCATCTAGCTACATAACGGTCACTAATGTTGTGCCGCAAGGCTCAGTTTTAGGTCCCACTCTTTTTACAGTTTACATAAATAATGTAGGTAAAAACATTCCTGACACATTGTTGCATCTCTATGCAGATGATACTGTTGTTTACTGCCAAGTTAACACAGTTGCCAAGGTTTTCCAGCTTCTACAGTCTGCATTTGACATCATTCAGTCAGACTTATTCCATCTCAAGCTGCTGCTAAATGCTGATAAAACCAAAGGGATGTTGTTTCCCAACAGAAAGTTGGTGTCAGCAGTTCTTCGTCCTATCTCATCCATGCACGGTGCTCCTACTGAGTTTGTGGATTCTTAAAAATACCTGGGAATTTGGGTTGAAGCACAGCTCTTTTTTTGTTAAACCACATATCAAATGCTTGATAAAGAAACTGAAATTAAAACTGGATTTCTTTTTCAGAAATAGATCTTGCTTAACTCTGAACACCAGAAAACACCTTGTAACGGCTACCTTCCTACCGGCCATGGACTACATTGACATTATTCATATGAATGCCCTGCCAGCTCCTTGCAGATGTTGGATGCTGTCAACCATGGTGTGATAAGATTCATAACTGGTTGTAACTACCGTACCATCACTGCACTCTGTACTCACTGGTCAGTTGGTCATCATTATCTACACATAGGCTCTCACACCGGTTCATTTTCATCTATAAATCACTCCTTGGTCTGCTTAGCTGCATTCGGGCCTAAAAAATCTGGACTGGCCCGGCCATCCAGCACATTATTTTGGTCTGGCCCGAATTTCAGATCAGGCCAGGCCGGTCGCAGGCCCGGGTTAGAAATGACAGCTCGGCTTCTTATATCTCCTCCCACGTCACCCCGTCAGTGCAGTTACAGCGTGCGCTGTCAGGCCATCATGACCTGCAACTTCCCCTCAGTGTGGACTGAACTTGGCAAAAAGGCATTCTCCTACTCAACTCCTGGAACACCTTGCAACAGGAACTGAAGTTGTCCACCTTAATTTCTTTCATTCGATAATGTCAATAGAAACTTCAAAATAAATACAATGTTTTTAGTATTTTACCTCGTTTTATTTGGCACCTTGATTTATTGTTTATAACAGTACTTTTATTTTAACTGCATTTTTACTGTAGTTTACTGTTATTGTTGATTGTTATTGTTGATTGTTATTGTTGATTGTTATTGTTGATTGTTATTGTTGATTGTTATTGTTGTCTGTACTTTATATGTTCTGTCTGGAACAGGTCTCTCTTGTAAATGAGTCCTCGTGGCTCAGTGAGACTAGCCTGTATAAATAAAGGTTGAATAATAAAAAAAAACCAACTAAGATAAGCAGCAACAACATTATCATCCCTGCCGACAGACCATTAACCATTTGTTTGTTCTCCAGGGTTCCAGTTCCCTTCCTGGCACATTTGATGATTTTGCATCTTGTAAATAAACACAGCAAACACATTCTGAGTCTTGGTATCTGTTCTCTTCGGTCCTCCTTGTATCTGGGTAAAGCTGTAATCGTTACACGTGAAGTTTTGAACAGGGTTGAGTCCAAACAGCATGTCTGTGGTGACTCTAAAGGGATTCATCTTCAGCTGTGGGAGAGCACACTCTTCATATGCATGCATGGAAACAAGTGGAACAAAACAACAGGCCTGCGTTGGCAGTAATGAAGGCATGTCACCCTGTGAAACAACGTCACACTGATGCCTTCCATTAATGTTGGCATTTATCTTGTTAGCCAGATTAGTTTCCTGTTGGTTCTGTGTCCTTAAAGCTGCAATAATTGATATCTTTGGCTCTAGTGAGGAGCTGCATGCGAACAGGTTTGTTACAGCAATGAGCCGTGACAGAGTAAACGTGGTTCTGTAGTTTGCTGCAGCGCTAAGGAGCGTTTAGGGTGATCACTGCCTTCCGCCATGCAACAAAAACTGAGTAATTGTGTGCGTTTGTGTGTTAGCTAAATATGTGACGAACCTCTTGAGCTGAATGAAACTGTTTAAAAGAAAGAACTGGCTGTAAATCTACAACTGTTAGCTTTTTGGAGTCAAGATTCAAGATGACCAGCAGAGCTAATTAACTTTAGCAAATACAAAGATGGCTAACTCGTGCAGCTTTACAGATAAAGTTTCTTTTGGCTGCTTCCTTCTCCCACAGCAAGTGGACTTGCATGACATACAGTATTTGACCATTGTTTTACACCAGATGTCTGTCCTGATGCAACCCTATAGAACCCACAACCTCAGGATTACAAGACTGATCACCAAACTACCACAGCCTCTCAACTTTACAGATGTTCAGCTAAAATTCAGTGGGTTAGTCCAGATGATCAGCCCCAATACAAAACCCAGGCCCTAATTTATCACATAAGACTTATTTAAAACTTTAGAATGCAAGGCAGCAGGCACAATGCATTTCTTCAAGAAATGTTAGTTTCATGATTTGATATTGCACCTTTTTAGAAGGAAACTCTAAAAGTGTGTCAGACACCAGCTGTGCAGCAACTAACAACTTAGCAATTAGCTCTAAGTAGCAGAAGTGTGTGGAGAACAACAAGGCCAGAAGCGTAATGATTCATCATATTACACCATGTTCTCCAAATCCCTGGAACCAGTGCAGACAGAAATACAGAGCTCTGCTCATATTCAACACAAAGCCTCAGATCCTTTTGCATCACACAAATCCACTACAGTGGACTCACCTATATTGCAAATCCTGCATAATTTTTTATACATGTCTGGAAATTTTCTATTGATTTCATTAAGTCTAGGAAACTTTATGGTTGTTTTACTTTAATATTTGAACGGGAGCCAATCTGCTGTGGAAATTAAGAAAGATGAACATCTTAGTTATTGTCAAAATGCTTTTTTTTTTTTTTTGAGAAATTCAAATTCATGGAGAATCAAATTCTATTTCCAAGATCAGAACAAGAACTCTCTGTGTCAAACTCTGTAACACAAGGAGGCCAAAATTAAAAAATATATATTTGGGAAAGGGTCTAATTCCAAAAATATATGGATGCCTGGTAGATGGATGTGCAGGCACATCTATGGAGTGGCAGGAGGCACGGAGAGAGGACTTACACATTCATTCAACCTGTATTTATACAGGTTAGGCTCACTGAGCCCTAGGAACTCATTTACAAGACAGACCTGTAATAAGGTCTAGGTTAGGCTAACTAGGCTAATAAGGAACAAATAGGAGTTAAACGAGCATTTCATGAAAAACTAAACAGGCTGGTGAAATGTTTAGGCAATGCATGGTTACACAACAGCATCAGAATGGCTTATCTCAGGGTTTTCATATTAAACATAAAACTTTACATTTTATACTTACTGTGGGGCAGGTGAATACAGTTCAATTAACTTTGTCTTCTTTTTAAAGTTACTTACTCTGAACCAGAATCTTAAAGCATTAAAAATGTCAAATTTTGAAATATATTTTAACATCTACGACTAAAAATAAGGTTTGAATTTTCTGAAGTGTAGTTCTATGCATACGTTATACATAAAACATACATACACAGCTTACTGAACAACCTTAGTTTGAAAAAAATTCAGTTAAATTCTTAACTAATCCATGAGCTAACAGCTAGCCTAAACAGAGCCAAGAACAACAACTGAAGGGACCTAACAAGACCTGCTAACGTGGCTAACAACACCACGCCGCTAACCGAGCCACGCCGCTAACAGTACCGTGGAGCCAATGGGACCATGTTGCTAAGAGAAACCTCCCTGTCATCAGAACCACTCTGCTAATAGGACCATGCTTCTGTAGATGTTTTTTTTTTTCACTTTTGATGTCTTGTTTCTGTATTTTTGTTGAATGCTTTGAATAAATCCTAGTTATGTTTGTTTAGTTTATGTTAGTGCTCGCATTAATCGTGTAAATTATAGCCGAGCCGAACCTATGAGAATCGTGCTGTTGCTTGTTGTATTGTTTTGCACTATTAGTGACTAGTGTATATCTTAGATCTTTTAGCATACCGTTGGGCATTTGTTTAACGTATATCTTAGTTTGTATCTTAAATCCTTATTCACCGTTACTTTTTACACTTTATATTTTTGCTGTTGTTGGATGTAACTGGGACCTTTTGTACACAATTTCATTCCACCTCATG